GAAGCCAAACCCCAGTAGGCCCAAATCGGGCCTAATGGTTCACCTCATGACCGTTGGGCCTGCAGCCCCGAGCCGGAGCCACTTTGCCTTCGAAGAAGGCGCCTTACCCGATGCTCAAGGCACACGTGTTCCTGATGGAATGGATGCGCAGGCGATTGGCCAGGTCCCGAAGCACCTGCAGAGTATGCGCGTCAGGTTTCTCTTCCTCCGGTATGGCAACGTTCCCCTCAGCCTCCGCCATGGCGGCTACGCAGACAGAGTCTGAAGAGAAAATGGCGTCGAGTGGGCGCGTCAGGCTTTTATAGGCCTCTAACGGCTCCCTCCGCGAAGAACCTTCCGCGCGCGCGCGCGTGGATCCCTCCGCGCGCCCCAATTAAGCGGATTTTGGACATTTTTCATTTGCATATATATTTCATTTGCATATATGATATTTCCCATAATCAGTTAATTTTTTTATAGCTTCCCTTGTGTTATTAATTCAAAGAGGACTGCCTCTGTACGCGAATTCAGGGTCTACTTTTACGGTTGTACAGGGTCCAGGATCTACTTTTCAGTTATGAAGGTCTGGAACTAGATACTTTGGTAGGCGACAATAGTAAAGTAGTTGTCGATTCATACACCTTAACCGTTTGGCTGCTGACGTATTTTTCCGGACATATGCCAAAACTGCGGCACTAATTGCGCGTGTGTGGGAAAAAATGTAAAACACTTTTTATACAATAAACTCACTTGTATTGCTTTGCAACAACAAAAATTAAAAAATACCAATTGTTTACATAAATTTGTTTTAAATAAGAAGAGCGCGATAGCTTTCCTTAGCAGTCAAACGGTTAAAAACAGTTACAATGCTGAAGTTTGTTTTGCATGTTTTATCACACTATTAAAAGAGTACGCCGTCATTTTACAATTTTGGGGTACACCCTCCTTGCACCCAATAGCAGTCGGGTTCCTAGGTCGACTTCTCAGCACAGGGGGCAGGCTGAGGGTTCCGAGGCAGCAGGTGTCTGTGTGTTGACCGTTTTTTCCAGAATCTTGGGTATGGTACGACCCGTGTGAGAGTTTAGGTGGCATTAGCCTAACGCTGGCCAGCAACTTTCCCAGGGAGCCTGACTTGAGGGGGTTCCCGTTGACTTTCTGTATGAAGGTCACACTGTGTCTCGGAGACCTCATGTCCCTCAGATTTTGAGATGGGCTACCAAGACCCAGCCTTTCTCCCAGCCGCACCATGTCCACAACATTATACCCCACGTTGAACCACTGGGAAGCATCTTGAAAACTGCCGAGCTCCGGAGAGCGCCATTTTGCCTGAACGCGGCTAGATCGCAAGCCGATTACGTTCTCGTTCGGTTAAAGGGCATTGCCATTTTTCATCGATACCACTGACTGCTCGAGAAAAACCCTGCTCCTATGTGTGATCCTACTTACAAAAAACACGAGTGCTCATTTCCTCACATCATCCACACTGGCTATTGTTAGCCTTTTTAATGTGTGACATTCCGACGGATGAGAAAATCATATTTAGCAAATGCTTTGGTTTACGTTTGCCCAAGATCCTTACAGTAGATTATTGCCGTTCGTGTGTTTATTACTGTCCGTGATCTATCGTTTCCGAATTGTCTATTGCTATCCCTTATTGTTTTTACATTGGATTCTTTCTCTTTAGCTTCCTAATTTGTAAGACTTCTTTGTTATATCTATTAGAGATATAGCAAATCTTTTTTCCCCTCAATCTGTTGCTTTTTTTAAAAAATGTTAAGAGATACTTTATTTTTAAGAAGGAGCAAGTGTTTGAACCAAAATCTAACTTTATGCTTTTTTTCTCCCCGTAAGAATGTTTTAAAACACTTTTATGCAGTAAAATATGTAAATCTTTTGCTTCGTGGCATTTTGATTTGAGTCATTTACAAAGATCTTTTCTACACAAAGATTATAAAAATATTCCTACCATGTCCTCCTTACACTTTTACAGTTTCATTTTTATGCTTAAATCTTTATTCTGTCCCAACTTTACACTAGAGGCCCGATACACGAAATTCGTGCAAGGGCCTTGGGCCTTGCCGCCACTGCCGGCGGCACCACCACCGCAGTGGCCACCTCTGCCTTGGCCCCCACCTGCCCCAGCTTTGTCCAGAAGGAAGGCCATCTGGTCTAATTAGCATATTACGCTTTTATTATTATAGATATGATTATTAGGAAACACTAATTTTTTCAAAAAGCCAATTGTCTCAAGACCATATTTATTATTCTTTTGCAAAAACTTCTTAGCTTTTTTTTGCACTTTTTCTTCCAAATAAATTTTGAAATCAACTATTTTTAAGATCCATAAGAAATTCCCATTGTTTTTTTTTAAATATACTTTTATTTATTTTAGAGAGGAAAGGAGAAGGAGAGAGAGATAGAAACATCAACGGTGAGAGAGAATCATTGATCGGCTGCCTTCTGCACACCCCACACTGGGGATCAAACCCACAATCCCGGCATGTGCCCTGACCGGGAATCAAACCGTGACCTCCTGGTTCATAGGTTGATGCTCAACCACTGAGCCACACTGGCTGGGCCCATTGCTTTTTTAATTGGGATTTTGTTGAATTTATAGGTCAATATGTAGAGGGCTAATGTATTTATGGTTTTGAGTCTCCTCCTCAAGTACATGGTATATAGCAGTGATGGTGAACCTTTTGAGCTAGGCGTGTCAGCATTTTGAAAAACCCTAACTTCTCTGGTGCCGTGTCACATATAGAAATTTTTTGATATTTGCAACCATAGTAAAACAAAGATTTATATTTTTGATATTTATTTTATATACTTAAATGCCATTTAACAAAGAAAAATCAACCAAAAAATGAGTTCGCGTGTCACCTTTGACACGCATGTCATAGGTTCGACATCACTGGTATATAGTCATTGATAATCACATCTTACTGACATCATATTTTATATTTTCAGTTTAACAAAAGATCTTTCTTTTTCTTCCTCCTTTCCTTCTTCTTCTTCTTCTTCTTTTTTTTTAAAAAAATTCTCACCAAGTGTATTTTTTCCATTGATTTTCAGGGAATCAGGTTCCATTTTATGTCTCCCTTTGGTTATTTGGATGTTACATACCTGGCTTTTCCTGAGTGGTTACCTTTAAATTTTTTTGTTTTTTGTTTTTGTTCTTTTCTTTTGGTTACCTTTAAATTATTTTTTTTTTAAAGAAAGAGTGGAAGGGAGGAAGGAGAGAGAGACATCCAGCATGTGTCCTGACTAGGGGCCTAGGAACAAACTTGTAAGGTACGTGCCCTTGACCAGGAATTGAGACAGACCCTTCTCTGCATAGAATGATGCTCTACCACGGAGCACACAGGCCAGAGCACCTTTAATTTTTTTCGCCAACATTTTTCTCTCAATTTTGAGTTTGATGTGATAGCTCTAAAATTCCCCAAAAGAACAAGTCATTAGCAAACTTTAATTTTCCCTGTTTCCTACTTCCTTTTACCAATGGTATATACAAATATAGTTTAAAGCCGGGCTCAGCGAATTTTTAAAAGTATATATATTTTGACTGTTGACAGTATTACAGATGTCCCCCATGCCTCTTCCAAGCAAACTTTTGAGAGGCCCCAGAGTGGTAGACTCTTTCTCTTTTTCCTCGCCATGTGACTCATTCATTTGTGTCACAATATAATTTTCCATCCTGGACTATGAGCTCTATGACAAGCATGTCAAACTCAAAGGCTAACATGGGCCAAATAAGCAAGGTTTAAGTTTAGGTGGACCACAAAAAAACCCCCAAAGCTTCAATTTTCATAGAAACGTAGGTTTATTTCGATAGAGACACGCTGAATACAAAGGGCTGAAATAAATGAGTCATCGTTCACATAAAGTAATAGAACATTTTAATAAAAAATAATATTTGCCCTGACCGGTTTGGCTCAGTGGATAGAGCGTCGGCCTGTGGATTGAAGGATTCTGGGTTCGATTCCAGTCAAGGGCATGTACCTGGGTTGCAGGCACATCCCCAGTAGGGAGGTGTGCAGGAGG